GCGAAGAGTTGCAGCGAAGACTTCATAGCTTTAAGAGCTCTGAAGAACTGAAGTGAACTCGCAAATACATTGAAGACGGAACTTTCTGAAATTCTCTAGTCAAAATTTCAAATAATTGAAGGATTGCAAAAAAAAAAGTGACTGCTAGAAGAGCCTTTAAGAACAGCAGATGGCCTGATTATAATTAATCTGTTTCTACTTGACTAATAATGTGTATTTGTGCGTTTTTGAATCGGGAGTTACATTTTAGACAGCGATATTCTCATCTGATTCTGTCATCAAATTCTTGTTTATACATTTTAGACAGCAATAGCATTTGCCATTGGGGCTTTTGTATTCTTCTCTGTAGATTCTGGCTGTGCTTTAAATCAACATACTTGTACATTTGGAAAACTAAATTAGACACTCATCTTTGGCCAAATCTTGTGGCAAGCGCTTCACCATCATCTTCATCTTCTTCTGAGTCGCAGCCGTTCATCTTAAGCTTTAAGTCCGTTTTTCTTTTCTTTTCTTTTTGTTTTTTGTTTTTAATATTTTTGTTTTCATTACTAAACTTAGTTTTCTCTCAGTTGGGTTTTTGTTCTGCCCCCTGCTTGCTTGCTTGCCTACAAAATGTATTTTTGTTTGTTTTCGTTTTTTTGTATTTATATATTCGTACATACATATATTTATATATAAAGTTATATATTCATATAAAAAAAAGAGTTTCTTTTACAGTTGTTTGTTGCTGTTCTTCTTATTCTTCTTGTTGTTGTTGTTGGTTGTAGGTATTTAAATAGTATTTACAAAATATAAAAAAGTATGCTCTGCTCTTTAGGTGTATACATATATATATATATATATATATATATATATATATATATATAGATATATATAGGCATATATATATATTCATAGATGATATATAAAGTTTTATATTCATTGCCCCATTCTCATTATGCCCATCAATATCTCAATTCTCTCGATTCTCATTTTAAAAAAAAGTTATCCTTATATGCTCGTTATGTTCATATTCATGCATTATATAAGTCAGATCTGCTGCTTCTACTTCTTTTTCTTCTTCTACTACTTGTTGCTGTTTCTCGGCCCAATTGTTGTCCTCCTGGCATATATAGTAGTATGCATAATATTTTCTCCATTATTATTTATTGTTCACGAGATATCTTTTACTAATACTTTGTTTTATACACTAACACATACACGTTGAAAAAAAATGCTCCAAAATATAACATTTAGTATTTTATTTCGTGTTCCTTTTTTTGTTGTTGTTGTAATTTTTCATTTTTGTTGTGTAGAAATATTCCATATATATTTGTTTTTCTATGCTTAGCTATTTGATTTGATTTTTGTTTTTTTTTTTTGTTAATATATTTTCGTTTGTTTGTTGTTTTTTTTTTGTGTTTTGTCAATTTTTGTTTTCCATGCCTATTTACTATTTAAACATTGCACGTATGATTTTTGTTTTTTTTTTTCTCAGTGTTTTGGAGCCGCAATTGCCGCTTCTTCGTGATCGGTTCATTTCTCTTTAAATAGATGTGTTTACTACCGTAAAATGTATTGTTTTTTGTTTTTCAAACTTTTACCATCGCCTGCTAAGTCTTTGCTGCAAATTATTTTCCTTTGTCTGTCTGTCTGTCTGACTGTCTGTCTGTCTGACTATCTGTCTGTGTGTTTAGCGTTCATTTCTTCTATAATTAAGTTATGTTAATTGTTTAATTGTTAGACATATAAGTATGCATGTATGTATTATTTGTCAACTTTCTCGACTCATGCATGTGCATGCGTGTGCGTCTCGATTTGAAATGCCTTTTAAACAACAACAGTTCGATCGATAGGCGAAATTTATAAGAATTGTGTCAACATGAGATCAATTTCAAAGAAGTTTAACCAACTCACGCATCCTACATATCTATGTACATATACACTTGTACTTACAATACGAATACCTAATTAGCATATTGAATTGTTATTTACCATTCGAGCATAAAGCTAGCAGACAGCTACAGACATTCTCTTGTTCGGTTCAATCTTTGCTAAGTATTGTCTGTTTAGTCAGTAATCGAAAAGAAAATCAAATGAAAATGCGCAAAATTCTTATATACATACCCTTGCAAATATTGTTGCTATGTATTATCTGTCAACCGATATATGGGTATGATGAACATTCTGGTAATTCTGATTAATCAGCCCTTAATCATGTTATTTAGGTATTTCGAAAATGTGCAAATCATTCTACACTTTATCCTATTCCAATGATATATCCTATTCCTGCTATCCGTAACATAACTCATTCCATTTATGATAATAAAAAAAATATAAAAACAAATTTTATTGTTTATTATTGTAGAATTAGAATTCAGGCATTATAATCGACAAAAAAAAATAGTATAAGGAACTCGTTTCTATTTTACAACGACTATTTAAACATAAAAAATCAACATCAAGTGTTTTTAAATTTCAATGAATACGACTTGATTTATATCAGAAGGAACGAGACTCTAAAATAAATATGATATCTCTTTGAGAAGAGGAAATGTGAACAGTTGCTTTGATGGCTCATTTTAGTCGATTATTATCCATTGCTTCAAAGTACAGTTCCAGAAATAGCTGAGCAGCTATCTGCTAATTAGTAAAATATTCTAAAACAGATTTGTATGCTGATTATAATTTGATATCTCTTTGAGAAGAAGAGTTGAAGATTTCTTTTGATGTCTCAGCTTTATAGCACAGTTCATTTAACTTTTCGAGAGACGACAAGGGATCCCCTCTAAACAAAATTGTATACTATTTATAAATTGATATTTTCCCTAAGAAGAAGAGTTGAAGATTTCTGTTAATAACTCAGCTTTATAGCAGGTTTGATTAACGATTAATAAATGTCAAGGACTCTACTCTTAAGCAACTTTTATACTGATTATAATTTGATATCTCTTTGAGAAGAAGAATTGCTTTGATGACTCATTGTTATCGATCATTATCGATTGCTTCAAAGTACAGTTGAACCCATCACTGATATCAATCGTTAATTAAGAAATAAAAATTACCTCGATTATAACGTTATATTTCTTTGAAGAAGATTTGCTTTGACGCTCCATTCTTATCGATTATTGAGTGGCATCATGATATCGATTGCTTCAAAATACAATTCAGACTCTACATCAAATTGCCGTTAACAGTGTCTTTGCAAGGGTATATATTGTTTATGAAATGGAACGAACTTTCTATTTCTGTGGAGTAGAGAGCAGTTGTTATTGTTGTTGTTGTTTGTTTGTTTGTTATCGAAATTAGTTATTGTAATTAGTGGCTATATACACACGCACATACACAGACTGACACTGACTCCATAGTGTATATACTACATATACATATAAATATATATCTGATGTCTACAATACGTACGCGATATTGGTGTATATGGTATATATTTATATGGCTAGAATATGCTAAGCTACACACATACACACACACTTACACACAATGTTGTTCTGTATTTACTAAGTTCGTTAATTGTATTCATCGGGACAGTTACTGGAAAGTGTCTAAAAGAACCAATGTAACGCAGGAAGTATAGAGTTGATAGAATTATTATAAATGATAATAATAATTGCACAGCTTATTGTTGTTAAAAGAAATTTGCATTTTGCGGTAGTAAATTGAAGTAAAGTGAAGGTAAAAGGTAAAAGTTGTTAACAGCATTAGGAAATGTGTGAAATGTGTTAAAAATGATGATTGTTTTTAGTTTTTAGAACCAGAACTGTAGACTTACAATTTGTATGGTTAGAGTTTTTTTTTTGTTTTTTCTTTCTTCTTCTTGTTTACATATATTTTCTAATAATAATATTAGTTTCTTTCTTTCTTCTTCTTCTTTTCTTGTGGTTGTTGCAGCACATCAATTATATCGTTTGTCACATAAAAATTGGAAAATATTATTTGCGGCAACTAACAATATTTTTTTAAATTTATATTTTGCATAGATTGTTGTTTTGCTATACATACAAGCATTTTTCTCTAATTAATATTTTTTTGTTTGTGTGTTTTGTTTTTTTTTGCTTCTTTGATTTATGTATAAGGTATGTATATCTATATATATATATATAGGTATATGTATATATTTATATAAAGCGTTACCCATTGGTGGTTTCTGTTACAACAGCGCAATTTGTTTTTGTTTTTGTTGGTTTTTCGTTTGCAGTTTTAGTTTGTTGTTGTTGTAGTTGTTGTTTTCGTTAAAATTAACATTTAGAATGCTACATGAATTTGTTACTTGACATTATTTCGCTTTCGCTTTTATTTCTAAGAGAGATATATATATATACAAAGATTTTGTTGATTGGAAATTTCTATTTTCTGTGCAAAGTTGGTGTTGTTGCTTTTATTGTTGTTGTTGTTGTTATTAATATAATTATTGTTGCTGCTGTTGTTGTTGTTGTTGGTGTTGTTGTTGCTTATATTGCTGCTGTCTGCTGATTGATGTGTGCTTTTTCTTGTTGTTGTTGTTGTTGTTAATGACATGTACTTGTGGTTGCTGCTTCATGTTGCTGCTGTTGTTCTTGTTGTTGTTGTTGTTGTTGTTGGTTGGTTGCGTATAAAATGATTTATTAAAAAATAATTTTTATTTATTTATTTTTTGTTTGTTTTAGTTTTCTTTTAATTCATTTTTTTGTTGTTGTTGTCTCTTTCTCTCTATCTCTCCCTCTCGTATCTCATTCACTTTTTTTTTTGTTTTTTTGATTTTCAAAATCGATGCTATATGTTGGGCGGAACTGTTTTGTTGTTGTTGTTGTTGTTGTTGCTGTTGTGTTTACTGTTGTTGTTTTACAACAAAATGGCGAACATGGCGGCTATGCTCAAAATATGAATTCAAATGTGTGTGTGTGTGTGTGCGATGCTGAGCTTTTGTAGAGTTTTGAAAAAGTTGTTGTTCTGTTTCTCGATATTCTTTTCGTATAGAAAGTTATAAACAACAAGCGTACAATTTGTTGTTGTTGCTGTTTTTTTTTTTTCAATTAAGGTGGGAGCTGTTGCACACAGTTCGGTTGTTGTTGTTGTAGTTGTTGTTCTTATTCCCATTTACTGTGCCGTTGTGCTGCTGCGTATCAAAAAATTATAGTTGCGATCCTTGTCCGTCTGACGAAACCCTAAAAGAGGACAGATATTTCGATTATATGGGAATTCAAATCGTCACACACAACTGTGTTGTACTATTAAATAGAATAGACACATAATTCAAGAGAATTATGTATAAACAAAGATTCTGTGTCCATTTTACCCCAAATGTGGGTTGAAGTTTTCAATCTTTGAATAATCCTCTAGAACCAACGTCAGCAATTAGCGGGAATTGATTTCTTTTCACTTACCATTTGCTGCCGCAGCGCCCTGCGCTGTTGCTGCCACAATTGTGGTGCCTCCGTTGGTATTACCAACAATCCCTGAGGCTGTCGTAGCATGATATTTTAGGCCATTTGCCATAACGTTAACATTACGTGCACCTCCAATCAAATGCGTTTGCATGGGTGGCGACGACGAGGCTGAAGATGAAGAGGACGATGATGAGGACGACGAAGACGACGATGAGGATGATATGAACGAGGCCGACGAGGAGACACCGCTGGACGACGATGACGGCGATGGAGATGGCGTCGATGGTGTTGGCGAGCCACGCGTCAAGGTGTTGACTGAAATGTGAAAATTAAATTAGTCGATGGAGCCAAAAAGCATATATTAAATAGTAGTGCTCTAGAATTTCAGTTTCAAATCAATTCTATATAGAGTTTCTATTACTGAGCAACGGTTATCATCTTTAAGATATGATGTATAAAGGGAACAGTAGAGAAATCTTTGTTATTCGAAAACAATGTGTACACATTAGGGACCGGAATATACTCTTTAAAATAGTTCAATCTATTAACTAAAATAGCTAGATGGTTTAATGATTTTAAAACAGATCATAAAAGTCTGGGTAAACTATTTTAAAGAAAACTCAACTCTTTTCATTAAATGCACAACGCAGACAATTGAATTAGAAAATAATTTTAACATCATCACTCCGCAATGGAAATGGCTGTTGATAGCTTCGAATAGTACTCGAAATGTCAAAAATATGTGTTGAAAAAGATATTTAGAAGTTAACTAATTTTGAAGTCTTCTTCCTTTAATAGCCAAGCTCTTTAATCGATTGACTCTATTTAATTACAAGTTGAATTCCCACTTTTATTCTTAAAATTCCTGCTTCTCTAAAAATCAGAATGTTAATTTTTTAAATGAAATTCACTCTGCCGATTGCTGGGCACTAAATAAATTCGATTCTCAGTTTTTGAGGATAATCATGAGTACAGATTTGAAAAATCTCTGATTGAATATATCTTTTATTAGCAGCTTTGACATCTAAAGAGTTTCTGTGGAAGTCTGAATGCAAGTTTCTCAAATCGAATTCACTTTAGGTTTTTGAAGTTAATCATGAGTGCAGATTTGAAAAATCTTTGATTGAAAATATTTTTAGCCGACTTTAAAAAAGAGGAGGTTACCAATTCCTCTGCATTTTTTTTGTAATTTTTTAATTTCTGTTTGTCTATTAGCAGCTTTGAAATCTAAAGTGTTTCCCTGGAAGTCTGAATGCAAGTTTCTCAAATCGAATTCACTTTAGGTTTTTGAAGTTAATCATGAGTGCAGATTTGAAAAATCTCTGGTTGAATATATCTTCTATTAGCAGCTTTGACATCTAAAGAGTTTCTGTGGAAGTCCGAATGTTAGTTTTTCGAATTCGATCTCACTTTGACAATTTCTAGCTACGATATCTCTGATTGAAAATTTGATACACACAAGGTACCCGTAGAGCAGCTGAGAGTTCTAGACCTACCATTGGTAATCATTTGGGCCGCTGTTGACTGGCATGATATGCTAGCCGAAATGTTGTTGTTGTGGTTGTTGGTAATGTTGTTGCTGTTATTGGTGGGACTGCCCGCCGGGCTGTGGTTAAGGTGGGATGCTGATGCCGACGATGACGGATTTGGTGGTGATGTGACGATTGCCGTTCCTATGAAGCTGTTCTTCAATTGGCCCATTGCGACGACGGCCGCTGCGGCGGGATTCAAAAGCGAGTTGTTGCTTTTGTTGCTGCTGTTGTTGTTGGTGGCGGTGATGTGGATGTTGTTGCTGTTGTTGTTGTTGTGGGTATGTGTATAGCTGCCGCTCAGATTGTTGACGGCGACTGCGACGGCGGAGGTGTTGCTGTTGTTGTTGTTGTTGTTACTTTGTTTGTTGCTAGAATTAGTTTTGTTTATCACAGGTGACATGGCCGTGGGCACAGCGGTTTGCAGCTGCATGTTGTCAGAGCGAGATAGCCACATGTGAAGTAAGTGAGAAAGAGAGAGAGGGAGAGAGATAGAAAGATATAGTAAATGCATTTCAAGGCAATTGCAAGTGGGTGGTGGCTGGTGGCTGGTGGCTGGTAGGGGGCTGGTATAGTAAGTAGGTTTTCGCTATTTGTGTCAAGTTTGATGGGTCAAGTGTTTCGAATTATAACATTCATTCTATGCTCTAATCTGGTCTATAGACTGCTGATTCGATTAGAAGATTATTAGCATTGGAAACAAAAACAGCTATCAGTTTCTAATCTCATTAGTAATATGAGCGCTACCTACTTATAAATGGATTTCAAGCGATTTGGGAAACATATTTTCAAACTTTTATTCAGTTAGCTATAGATTGAGATCTGCAGTTTCTTTACACGTTATAAGGAATTTATGAGTTGTATCACAGATATAAGATATAGGGATTTAGATTCCCAGTGTTACTGGGACATAGTATCTTGAAATCTTGGGGTTAGTACTTCAAAACTTTGTTTACTATTTTGGGCTTTCTTGTAGATGCGATTGGGCTATAAACCTATAAAGTAGATCTTAAGCGCACATGGAATTCCTTGATCCGTCACAGATCAAGCAAAGCCTTTAGATCTACAATGGAAATTATGGACGCATAATATAGATCCAGAAGAGATATTGTAGGATCTTTTTATTCACATATCTTTGTAATCGCGAAAGGAATAGATTTCGAATTGCCTACAAACAGTTCTCATGGGTCTTGTAAGAGATACATCTTGGATGATCGTATTCCTCGATTATTCTCAGGACTTCATGTTTGTGAGACAGAAACCTTTGAAAGCTTGCTACTTGTATTGCCCTATGAAATAATTGATGCTACGCTACACTGCACTGATTGAAAGATGCTCTATAATCGCTAATATCTTATTGTTTTTGTTGTTGTTTTATGGGTAGTTGTTGTTTGTTGTTTCTGTTGTTTTTAGCACCTCACCCACATAAAGATTAGGAGAGATGGAAAGTCGATAGTTTACCTAATTAACTAAATGTGTGTATAGCCTCTCTTCTGCTGACGCTTCTGCTTCTTCTTGCTCTTCTTCTGCACTGCTCTGCTTTTGCCCAATTGTTGTGTGTGTGTTCGTGTCTGCGTGTATGAAAGTGTTGTTCGTGTGTGGGTTTTTGCGTGAATGTGTGAGTGTGTGTGTCTGTGAGAGTGTTCTGGATGGTATGTATACGGATGTAGTAGGTACACTTTATACGCCTATTTTGGCCGACACTCTATAATATTGTATGGCGGGCCTTGTGGCGGTTGTCGGTGGCGTTGTCTTGGAAATGGGCATGCTGTTGTTGTTGTTATTATTATTATTGTTGTTGTTGTTGTTGTTGTGGTGGTTGTTCGATGTCGCTACCGTTCTCAGAGCATTGGCCACTTTGGCACAACTGTTGTTATTGTTGTTGTAGTTGTTGTTGTGTTTACTTACACCAGCAGCGCAAACGGAAACGGGCGATGTGGTGCCATCAAACAAAATGGCGCCCCGCCCAGCTGCTGCAGCGGCGGCGGGAATAGCGGCAGCAGCAACTGATGATGTTGTTGCCAAGCAAACAGCTTCATTAACATCTGCAATGGAAAGGTAAGTCCCAATTGACCGAGGGGAAAGCGAAAGAGAGAGAGAGAGAGAGCGAGAAAGAAAGTGAGAGAGGAAAGGAGAGAAAAACAAATAACGTATAAGTCAAATGATAAACAATAATATAAATACTAGAAAAACATAACATTATATTTTAGCCAAGTTTTCTAATAAAGTCTGTAAATAAACTTGTTCCTATAATATCGATACAAAATTATTAAAGCGATATTTTTTAAGCCATCATTCAGGAAGCATCGATGCATTAAATTAAATGCCTGAAGCCTAACATACCTTTTGGGGTTGCTCATAATATATCGATAAGCAGTTTTCATTGATTCATCGATTATTATCGATATTTTCAAGTTAATTGAAGAACATTTTTGAACATCTCATGAAAGATGAAAATATTAAAATATTTGTTCTAGCTCTAGCCAATATTTCTTAAAAACAATAAACATACCGTTTGGGGTTGTTAATAATATTTCGATACACAGTTTTCTTTGATAAATCGATTATTATCATTATATTTATCGTTAATTGAAGAAAGTAATTTGAACAGCTCATTAAACTATCAAAATATTCAAATATTTGTTCTTGCCAATATTTTTTTAAAACGATTAACCCACGATTAAAAAGTTTTCTTTGATTACTATTTTTCTCGTTAATTGAAGAAGATAATTTGAACATCTCATGAAAGTATTGAAATATTTGCTGGAGCCAGCATTTTTTAAAAACGATTAATATACTCATTAGGGATTCTGATAATATATCGGTATATTATCTTCTACTATTATCTTCATTTCTCTCGTTCATTGAAGGAGATTATTTTGAAAACTCTCATTTGAAATCTAGACATTTCATTCTATCCGATTTAAGTGAAAAAAGCTTTCAAATTCTGGTATGCATATAAAAATCTTAAAAAAGATCGATTAAAATACAAGTATACTATAATTATTTAAATATTAACTAGATAGACAGAGATTTTCTTAAAGTGCTAGATGATCGTTTCCCCGTATTGTGGAGAGAGGGAAGCTTAGACTAACCTTTACAATTTGGTGGAATGCTCTGTTCAGTGTCACGCTTCAAGCTATTCAAACGCTTCTGCTTTTGCATTTTCTCCTTGGCCAAACGCTCCAATTCGGCCTCTTTTTCGCGACTGTCTTTCTTTAAATCCTGAGAAACAACAGAGGATAGGAGATATTGAAAAGGTGTGCAATATAGGATTGACCATCAATTGACTTACCATAACACACCTATAGGCATCAGCGAGTATTGTCAAATTAGAGATCTTCTTGCGATCCTCATCCTTGATTGGCAGCTCTTTCTTTAGCAGCTCGTAGCACCCCTTCAGCTGGGCACGTCGATTCTTCTCCAGCTTGTTGTGCACCTCACGCGTGCCCGCGCTGTGTTTCCATGAAAAAATAGTTTAAAACATAATTATTATTGCAAAGTCAAAATTGTAGTTAAATATTTTGGAGCAAAATTTTAGCTAGCATTCAACTCTTGGTTTGCATCAGTATCACTGTTCAGTGAATACGAATTCAGCCCCCAAATGGGTTAAATTAATGGTTTCAAAACTTCTTGAGGAGTGACTCTTGAAGTAGACATATATGACTTCGTCTCCTAATGCTGGTCTTTGTACACAAAACTATTGGTGTGCATCAGAATCACGAATTCAGCCCCCAAATGGGTTAAATGCTCCCTTAGGAGTAGCTATTGAAGAAGACATGTATATAACTATGTGGTTGATTCGTCCCGTTATGCTGATGTGTGTACATTAAATCCTTGGTTGCACCACTGTTCAGGGAATACGAATTTAATCCCCAAATGGGTTAAATTAATGGTTTTAATGCTCTTTGACGATTAGCTATTGAAGAAGACATACGTATATGACTATGTGGTGGATTCGTCTTATACAAGTATTGCTGGTCTTTGTACACAAAACTATTGGTGTGTATCAGAATCACGAATTCAGCCCCCAAATGGGTTAAATCAATGGTTTCAATGCTCCCTTAGGAGTAGCTATTGAAGAAGACATAAGACGTTAGGACAACTCACCCATTGCTGTTGGAACTGATGGTACGCCTGCGTCCGCCATGTCCACCTGCCACATGCATCGTTCCTGTGGCCAGCTGAGATCCTGCACCTTGGGCCGAGGTGCTCGCCGCTGCCCCCACCAAGGACATGTAATGACTTCCATTGCGCGATGTCGGTGAGTGTCCGGGGACGCGACCTGCGACCGCTGCCGAGCCCACAAAACTCATTTGGGCGTCATCGATAATCATGCTGTTGTTCGCCTGTTGGGCTGGAAATTTATGGGAGGACATTGAAAAGGATCGAATGCGTGAGCGCTGTTCTAATTGTCTGGTCGGCCCCGGCGGCGGTGTCAGAGTCATAAAGGTCTTGCACGATTGCGGATTGTGTCGTCCCGTCGCTGTCGCCAAATTGGCCATGGAGGCGGTCAGCGATTGGGAGGACAACGAAATTATACCATTTCGGTTCAGCTGAGAGGGCTGCGGCTTGGCATCGGCCACAAGAATGTATTTGTGCGGCAAGTGGGTGCCCGCTGAGTCGCCGCCGCTGTTCAAGCGCTGCTTGTGCTTCAGGGATGAAGACGTTGGCGGCGACGACGACAACAACGATGATGACGGAGACGATGGTAGCAGCACAAAGGCTGAGGGGGAGGTGTTCGTATTGGTTGTATTGGTGCTGGATGCTTGGGTTGGGATGGGGGTTGGGTTTGGGTTTGGGGTTAGGGTCAGGGTGGGGCTGCTATTGGTGAGGGAGCCGTCGAAACGGAACATTTTTGCTGATGTTGTTGTTGTTGTGGTTGTTGCTGGTGGTTTAGTTGTTGTAAATGTTGCTCTGCATGGTGCTACTGTTGTTATTGGTGACATAAGTAGCTGCTGTTGTCGTTGTTGTAGTAGGGTAGAGGAGTTGGAGGAGGAATTTTCATCCTCTGTAATAAAACGAAAGGAAAACAAGAAAACAAAAATAAACAAAAAGCAAAAGAAAATCATAATAATAGGAAATGGGAAAAAATAACACAAAGAGAAATTGTTAGAACTCATAAAACTCTATTGTGTGTCTGTGTGTGTGCGGATGTGTGTGTGTAAATATGTTTTATGCAGTGAGGTAGGTCGGAAATATTCATGACGGCTCAAAAATTCAAGTCACACATTTTTTTATTTGATTAATTGAAATAATGAACGAAATATAACATAAAACATAAAGAAAAGAACCGAATTACAGAAAGAAAACGATAGAAAACTGAATCAACAGGTAAAGCAAATGTTTTAATTTCAAGCTACACTTTCATTTCTTGCTATTCGAAATGTGAATCTGCCCCAAAGACCCCATTTAGACGAGCAGCTATTTTCAAAGAAAACATATTCTCTGGCATATATCCGATCGAAATGTAAGTATGTCAGAGCAATTATACTTGTATGCCAACATATAGTCATTCTCGACATGTTTTTGCTATTATTTAATTGATTGCTGAATTGTTGTGTACAGAAAGGATACAAAAAGACTACCCTGTTGCCAAAATTGTTAGTCTAGTCGTGACGAGAATAGCTTCTTGTTGCTTGCCAGAGACAGGCTTCCTTTTGTGAAGGCCATTCCCAACAATTCCTATTCAAATTCACATCCTTTCCCCATGGTGCCCTCAACACACAGCTATATACTATTAACAAATGAAATAAACTGCAAAATTTTGAAGCCAGAAGAAACTATGATGGAAAAAGTGCTCGTCTAAATGGTGCTCTTCCTACTTCAACATAATGTTTCAAAATTAACATTATATTTCAATTAATAATAATGAATGCATTTATTAAAAAAAAAAACCAACGCATGCATTTCTATTTGTTAGTTGAGAGCAAAATTGCACTCATCAGTTAATTGTTTTTCTTTTTTTTACTGACAATTATTGTTGTTTACATTCATTGGATATTTTGTAAATTAGCAATTTGTTAATTAACAATTTTTGGTTGGCTTTCTCATCCACATTGTTATTTCATTTTACACATTTTTCGATGCCTGAGCAAAATATTTGAAATTTCTACCTTTTGTTTTAGAATATGTTTTTCAAAACTAAATACCCATCGAAATAAAAATGTTAATAGTTTGCAATGTTTGCATAATTATTTGTAATTCTTTTCATTCGATTATTATTTAATTATCAATTACTTAGATTGTTAGTAACTGAAAAGTAATTTGAAAACAATGAATGAAATGATAAGCAAAATAAATGAACAAATAAATTAATGAGTAAAGCAGCAGCAGCAGAAGTGGCAGCAACAACAACAAAAGGGCAGCAACAAAAAAAAATATAAATAACTTGTTCACATTTGGTTACAAAGCCGCACCTAATTTAATTGCATTTAATTGCAAGACGCATGTGTATATTTTTGGCGAATGTATCTAATTTCAATGGATGATCAATAAACAAGCGAACCGGGAATCCAGAAACCAAAATTGCATTCATGCGTGCGTAACATACAAACATACATACATACAGTCGTGTGCGAAAGAATAGGAACAGCACAAGTGAAAAACTGGATTGCTAGCATCACTTTTGTGCAAAGAAAGAAACATCTCCTATAAGTAAACGCCATGTTAATCAGCATGTCCGTCCGTCTGTATGAACGTCTAGTTTTCGAAAACAGCTGAGCCCACATTCATCAAACTTGGCAGATAGACTCTCCTAGTCTGAATGCAACACGAGTTTTATTTTAATTGAGAATCTTTAATACAATGCGACGTTAAAAAGTAAGTTACAAAGTGTCGACCAAATAGCAAATCTGTTTCAAAGCTTTGGGAAGCACTCGAATATATTAATGTTTTCAAAATCTTGTAGACTCGATGCGGAAGCAATCAGCATGTCCGTCTGTCTGTATGAACGCCTAGTTCTCGAAAACAGCTGAGCCCACATTCATCAAACTTGGCAGATAGACTCTCCTAGTCTGAATGCAACACGAGTTTTATTTTATTTGAGAATCTTCGGTACATCCCGACGTGAAGAGGGAAGTTGCAAAATGTCGACCAAGTAGACTTAAACATGCCTCAAAATCTACGCCACCAAACACTAATTGTGGTCGCAGTTTTAGTAATTTAAATATTCGCATTATTTAGATCGATTTGGAGAAGTAGGAGGAGACCCACAGAAGAAACATTATTTTATTTTGATAAATAATTTTTCAAAATTAGTTTTTAAAGTATTTCTACACTTTTTTTTGGCGAACTTCATTTTTGAGCTACCACTACTAATATTTTGAGCGCAGCTGTACTATATGTGGGTATGTGTGTGTTGTGTATAGAGTTAATTATAGCAAACAAACTTGGAAGGCAAATTACGAGCATGAACAAATTGTTTATACATTCATGCAGTTGCTATATAATACGAATAGACAGACAACTGTGCGACAGACTGGCTTGGGTGGGGTACGTGGGGCATTAAGTGGTGGCTGCACGTTGCCATTGGTGGCACATGGGTGTGTCGACGGGGGGTGGTGGCTCGTTTGCTCGTTCGACAAATTGTCAAACCAAATTAGCGTGCATTGTTTTGTAGGAAAAAAAACAACAACAAAAAAAACAAATAGAATATGAGAAGGAAAACAAATTGTCAACAAAATGACACACACACGCGTGTATGTATGTATGCATGCATGTATGTATGTACATGTGTGTATGTGTGCACGTGTCGCACTGTCAGAAACAAAGGGCTCACAACAACAACAACAACTACAACCACAACAGCATTCGAACCACAACTGCAGGCCGGAGAGAGCGAGCGGGCGGGCGCGTTAATGTTGCTTTCGATTTGTGGATTTTGTTTTTATAATAAGCTTATCATTCGCCCGGCCCCTACACACACACACATACGCTCACTTCCTGCCACCACATGGCGTATACGTCATCTGCCGCGAGTGCAGATGCCACGTGCACTCTCATCTGACAATCACGCTCTCCCTTTCGCTCCAATTCCTAATCTTTTCGTCTCGCATTTAAGCGAAACTATGGATAGAACGTTTAAGCTGTGCCAGCCTGATTCTTGAATACCCTCCTGTACTCTCCAACTCCTTTTCTCCGCTCCAGCCCATCAAATAAAATAAACTTTGTTGCACTTATCATTTGATTTTGATTTTGATGAATCTAAAGGAATATTATAAGGCACTATACAAAACTTCTAAATACCTGATTTGATAAAGATATCTTAACTAACAGACAAGTTATTCTACTAAGAGTGATTGTTGTCCACATCGGTCCTATGGCAGCTATATAAAATAATGCGGCTATAGCTAGTTTGTAATACACTGGACCTATGCATGGATAAGAAAAGTCTGCATGCCAAGTTTGGTGCCTCTAGCTGTTACGGTCCAAACGTTTTTAAAGTTCATATAGACAGACAGATATGTCGATTCGAACGTAAATTTATCTGTACCTGTACCTAACAGGGGCTCTACCACGCCACTTTCAGGCACAGCACATAAGTAGTGTGCAGAGTACAGGCTTGACAAACAAAAATTATACATGTGTGTATACGAAATCAGGGTAGAATGTTACAGTCGAGACAGCCCAACAGTGTAAACCTGGCCCCAAATGTAGTGAAATTGTGGCGCTCTTTACATCTCCTGGTATTTATAGTTTTTGATTAAATTTAAAATGAAAGGTAGAGAAATTTATATAAATTACGATAGCAATGTTAAGCTTCAGATTTATGAGCAGTATTGAAGAAATACTTCAGCGGATCAAATTTTAATTACTTTTTGCTCCCATTAAGAGAACTCGAGTTGCCTCGCAACTAAGAGAGTCTACATGCCTAGTTTGGTCAATGTGGACTCAGCCGCTTCGGAAAACCAGGCGTTCATCCAGACGGACGAACATGTCTAGAGCTGCCAGTCCCCCTCTGCACGAATCAAATATTCTCTTTCATATCCTTCGGGTACTGGGGATAAAAACTCAACTATTGAGCCCTAAAGTGGATTAACATGGCTTGATGGCAGTTTTTGTAAAACAATTTGGGCGTCAATTAATACATTTGCAATTGCAGAAACGCCGATAAAACAGCATTCTTCGTATGCAAAACATTATTATTTAAGAGTATTGTATAGTATGTAGATGTGTATCGAGATCCTAACGGGAATTTTGTCTTACGTAGTCCTCCCGCTCAATTTTTTCGGCTGCAATACATAATCTCTAGCCGCCTTTGTAAAGGAACGAACAAATGATAACAATAGAAGACAAAATTGTATATATGTACCTTGACAATAGCACATGTGAAAAGAAAGCTGCTATAATATATAGTTGTTTTTGTTGTTGTTGTAAAATGTGCCCAAAAAAGCAAATACACTTAAATGGGCTATGACCATTTGCAACAACAAGAGTGACAAGAAGGGGAACGGGAGCGCGAACGAGAACAACAAATAGTCGTAGATAGTCAGTGCGCGTGTTTAAAGAGCTTGTTTTGCATATTACTGTTACAATAACAACAATAATAATAAATCCAACAACAACAATGGCAAAAACTAAAATAACGGTATTGTCAACTTGCACAGTTGGCGTAGCCAATTAGCAACAACAACAATGTCAACAACAACAGAAACAAACAACTGAAGTATTTCTTTGTTATTAAAATTTCATTGCGTGCTTTCAGGCGCCGACATAAAATAAACTCATTTCTCTAGAATGGTTCAGATTTCAAGGTTATATTGACAGCCAGCCGTCTGATACGCACATGATTTACCAGCTTATTTGCATATCATTTACATATGTATGTGTGTATATTTAAAAACTATACAAATAGACTTGGAATCTGAAAGTGAACATTTAAATTCACTCAGCTATTGTTGTGTTTGTATAATTTTTAACTTCCTGACGCCTGCGGTTTACATAAAACAATTAATACATTGACTGTTAACTTTCGTAATTCAATGAATTAGAAGCCTATCCTACAAAATG